CTACTTCCCATCTGATCTCGTGCCAAGGGGAGTTCATTCCTCCTTCTTAATGTTTCCTGAATTGCTTCCCTCTTTTTCCTCCCCACTGCTAGTTTCTGTGCCTGAAGCACACCTCCCCGCTGGTCTTCTGCCTCTGGTTCCTTCCTCCCTACACAATGCTTTGTTGCTCAACCAACCTCAGCACCAACCCGTTCAGTCCGAATTCCTCCGCCGGGCATTCCGGTCCCTGCCCGATCTGGCCTGATTGTCACCTTGTTCCCATTATAACTTATGGTCCAAGCTAACCCGTCCTCGCTCCCCGTTCTTGTGCCTTTGCTCCAGCTGTTTCCTTTGCTGGAAATATTCTCCCCACCCGTTTTCCATCCCCGCAACCCAAATCCTGTCCATCCTTCAGAACTTCAAAACTCAGATCAAGGCCCCCTCTCCCAGACCCTCCCTAGGTCCCTGCAGCCTTGAGGCTTTCCTCCTCAGATCCCCAGTGCCTCCTGGGTGCTCTGTGCTCTATGTCCGTGCTGTTTCATGATTCTTACGAGAAAGACACACCTGGGTCTAGGGGTGGGATGTCACTCAGACTGCCTGGTGAGGAGGAAGGAGCTACATTTGTTGTTTTGGGGGGCCCCCCTTTCATAATTGTACCTCAACTTCTCCCACTCTCAGTCCCCATGCTGCAGGCAGGGCATACCCCTGCCCAGGAAATGGAGCCCTGGAAATGGACGTCCACCTTAGCCAATCAGTGGTTGACATTCCTGGGGATGGGCCAATCAGAACCAAGGACGCCTGGAGACTTTCTGCAGGAGTTCTAGGACTTGAGGCTGTCTTTCCCACGAGCTTGAACCTGAAGCTGTGCAGCCATTTATCAGCACAAGGGACTTGTCTATGGGAGGAAATGGAGGCAAGCGATGGAGAGGGAGACACTGGGTCCTGGGATGTTGTTTGAGCCTCTGAATCAAGCTGCGCCTGGAGTCAGCCCTACTTCCCCCCCCCCACCCCCCAATCACTTCTGAGAGTAAATCCCCTTGACCCACCCTGGGTTTGGTTTCCTCCTCCTTGCATTACCAAGAAGCTGAGCTGGTGCACAGGGTGAGAAGAGGGATCTCAGCATCATCTTCCAGGAGGTCATGGTGTGACCTCCCTTGGTTCCAAGGTTGAACCATGGAAGCCTGGCTGCCCTGTGCCCTGGCCGGCACATCCAGTGTGGCCCGCTGGCACCCCAAGGTCCGTAGGAGTAGATGAGAACCATCTGGACCACGGAGTGAAGCCGTAGGCCCCGAGGCAGGGCTGGGTCTCCGGAATGTGGATGCTGAGCCCAGGCTCAGGATGGAGAGTGTTGAGGGGGCATCCGGCTCCCACTGCATGAAACAAAAGATCCCCAGACACTATGAGTCATTAGAATATGGGAGGGGGATTGGAGGAGACTCAATCCCACCTTTCCCAGGAGCCCTTGGGGAATATAGCTGGAAACAGCTGGAGCAGGGGTTACCGGGAAGGGAGCACAGGGATTGGGAAGTGCCCGGATGCAGTGGGAAGAGGGCAGGACTGAGTGCCCTGGGAGGGATGGGGGTTGAGAGTCGGAATGTTCCTGAATGTTCTTTCATGATGGAGCCTTAGGGAAATGCTCCTGGCCTCTCCTCTGACATGGTGGGGGGCTGGGACAGGTAGATTGAGGTGTGGAAATGGGGAGCCCTAACTTCCCGTTGAACGTGGGAGGAATCACCATAGATGTGGGGATGGAAGGGCTGCTCAGGGTCTGCCTTGGGAAGACGACTGGGTGCCCCTCTGAATGAAGGTGCTGCATCAGAGGCTCCCCAAGGATTTGTGCTGAGAACTGGGGGGTCTTTTATGAATCTGGAGAGTGATCTGGAGTCTGAGGCAGGGTCCAGGGCAGGCAGATTGCTGAAGAGGAGCCTGGTGGAGCTGGGAGGGGTCAGCATGAGGCAAGGGTGTTGGGGGAGTCAGAGATAAGGGGGCATGAGGTTGAAGGAGCCCTCCTTGCTTCTGCTCTTCTACACCCAGATTCCTGAGAGCTCGGTCTTCCCCCCTGGCCTTCTGCCCACCAGCTGCCACAGAGCTAGGGAGGAATCTGCTTTGCATTATCAGAGGAGCCGCATCCCCCAGGCATATGGTCAGCAGACCCCCCAGCCAGGAGCATCATGGGAAATGTCTTCTCCTGACCCCAGCTCTGGCCCAGCCCCTTCTTCCCCTTGAGCAGTGGTTCTCAACCTTCTGGCCCTTTAAATACAGCTCCTCATGTGGTGACCCCAACCATAAAATTATTTTCGTTGCTACTTCATAACTGTAATGTTGCTACTGTTATGAATCGTAATGTAAATATCTGATATGCAGGATGGTTTTAGGCGACCCCTGTGAAAGGGTCGTTCGACCGCCAAAGGGGTCGCAACCCACAGGTTGAGAACCGCTGCCCTAGAGCATGGGGCTCCAAGCTCAGTGGCCCCCACCACACCCCTCCCCAGTGGATGAAGAGGCTTTTCACATCGCTCCAAGTCTCATCTGGGCTTCATTGATCTGCATGAAAGAGGGGGGGTGGAGGCACTAGGGGAAGAGAAGGGGCTCTGATGGGGCAGCCAAGATAAAAGGTCTCACCCTCTAGCCTAGAGTGGGGTGGGAAGGAGAACTATAGGCCTCAGGCCCAAGGAGATTTACGCAGAAAGAAGCAAGGGAGCACCTATCTGTCCTCTGAGCCCACATCTGGTCAAGTTCACAGCTGGCTGGACCCAGAATGAGTCCTCCTCTGGGAGGATGAAGCTCTGGAGCTGCCCGAGGTGACAGCCACATAGGGCTACTGAGCACTGGCGATGGGCTAGTCCAGTGGTCGGCAAACTGCGACTCGGCAAACTGCGGCTCGTGGGCCACATGCGGCCCTTTGGCCCCTTGAGTGTGGCTCTTCCACAAAATACCGACTTCTGCGCATGGGCCACGAAGTTTCAATCGCACTGTACGTGTGCGCCCGCACGCGGTATTTTGTGGAAGAGCCACACTCAAGGGGCCAAAGAGCCGCATGTGGCTCGTGAGCCACGGTTTGCCGACCACTGGGCTAGCCCAACTGAGATGTACTGTAAGAGCAGAATACATCCTGAATTTTGAAAGCTTAGTAGGAAAAAAAGTAAGATTTCATTGGTCATTTAAAAATATTGATTTCATGTTGAATGATGCTTTGGACATATTGGGCTAAATAAAATACGTCAAGTAAATCTCCTCTGCTTCTTTTTACTTTTGTAAGGTGGCTACTAAAAAATTGAGAATCACATATGCCGCTTGCATCCTATTTCTATCAGACAGGGCTGCTTCAGTCAACAAGGTTTTATTGGGTGCTAGCTCTATGCCAGGCAAGGTGCTGGGGATTAGAAAGTGAGCAAAACCAGACCCTGTCTCTGGCTTCCTGGAGTTTACAGTAATCAAATAATCACTCAGACGGGTGCCTAATTGCAGAGAGACAAGTGCTCTAGAGAGAAAGAGTGGCGCGTGGTCTTCTCTGAACCTGGGATCAAGAAGCCCGCGTTGGGCCCAGGGTGTGGTGAGAGCTTCCCCAGCGAAGCACCGAACTGGGAGGTAACTTGGAAAAGAAGGGGAAAGGGTGTCCGAGGCAGAAAGGACAGCATGTGCTAAAGCCCCTGGCTCTCTTCTGTCTCTTAGGGCCTTTGCTGAGCTGGCTCCTCTGCCAGGGACACTGTCCTCCCCCAGCTCATTGATTCCACTCAGCCCGAAGGACTCAGCTTCCATGGCCCTTTTGTAACAGACCTTCCCTAGTCCCTGGCAGGGGCGGGTCTGGGCTGGGACCTCCCACGCACCCCTCGCGTGGCGCTGCACATGGTACGGGGCCTGTCTGCTGTGTCCCCCTCGAGACGGCAAGGTCGCTGCAGGCAGGGACTGGTGTCTCCCTTATCCGCGCAGGCAGCATCGGGCTCTCCTTCCCCAGGTGCCATGTCTCCCCCATCAGAACGGAGGCTCCCTTGGGACAGGAATGGTGCCTCCCGAGTCAGATTAGAAGTATCCTCCAACCTGGGACTGGCTCCTCCCCATCAGATGGGAGGTTCACTCAGGACAGAGACCATCTCCCCATCACACTGCACCCTGGGTGCTACCCAAGTACCAGGGTCATTTCTCCCACCTATCGCATCCCCAACAGGCCTTCCTCACAACTCCGTCTGGGGGTGGAAGATGGAAGACAGCCGCCCCTCCCAACTCGAGCCTCACTCTTGGCTGGGGCCCGGCTGACCACCTCCCGGGAATCTGAGGTCAGGAAGGCCATTTGTTTTTCTTTCTGGGAAGACCAAGCCTCCAGAGCTTTTCCCAACAACCACGAGCCAGCCCCGTCAGAGGACCTGGCCGAGGGACCAGCAGGGGCTGAGCGGCTCTGACCAGCTGCCTGGCCAGCCTTGGAGAGGGGAACAGGCCTGGGGCCCGGAACCCTGCAGCTCAGGGAGCTCCCAGGCCTGGGCCCAGCAGGGCTCAAAGCCAGGCTGGCAGGAGCCAGAGTTGGGAGAGCCACAGGGAGGGCTTGCCTAACTCCAGGTCGGGTCAGCCAGGCTTCCTCGGGGCCATCTGGAGCCAGAGCCTGTGCGTGTGTTTGAGGAGGCGGGGGGAGTGTCTCCCAGGCCGTGTGGGTGGCTGGGAGCCGCAGGGCTGTGATCTGGCCGTTCCAACAAGCCCCTGGCTCCCCTGTGGTCACTTTCACTTCTGACATCTGGTCAAGTTTGCAGCTGGCCGGCTTCCTGCATGGCCATGTTCACTTTCCCTCTCCCAGATCTGGGGACAAAGCGCTCCCACTCCCTCCCTACCCCACATAAGTTAACTCCATGGCTGCTATACGTGCGCATTTGCTGGATTTCTGTTAAAACTTCCCCATGTGGTGTGCGTACAGGAGGGAGACAGGGCAGAGAAACGGGACAGGACCTGAGTTGGAAATGACACCTGGGTCCTTGTGACACATCCTACCTCCGCCAACTCAAAACACAGGCACTTCCAGAAAGTCACCGCACCAGTTTTCTTTCTTTGCTATTTAATGTTCATCATTTATGTTTTATGTGTAAGTTTCAGGAGGGCCCAAGAAATGGTTACACAGGGTGCGAGGGGAAGGTGTCGGGAGTCTGGAGCTCACAGCCCCCCGGCTGGGGGGCCCAAAGGGTTCCATCTCCGCCCAAAGGGAGGTAGGAGGGGCCCCAGAACCAAACACATGCTAAAACATACCTGCCTCCCTCCGACCGCTCCCAACTGCTGGGGCGGAAAATAAATACCCTCAGACTCTGCCCCGCTCCCTCCCGGGTGCACAGGCGAGGGGCCAGCGGGTGAGTTTCCTGCTCCCATCACAGACTGAGGTCCAAGGAACGCCATCTACATACAATGTTCCCAGTCCCTGGCGGGGGGTTGGGAGAACCCTGGGCGGGGGAGGGGGTGGCTGTGGGCGCACCCCCTGCTCTGGGCTCCTTCATGCTAAATAGAGGGGGGAGCCATTCATTCCAACATCAAGCAAAACAGAACAGGCCAGGAGGGACCTCCAGGCCCCTTCCTGGCACCAAGCTAGGGAAAAAGCTGTCCTTTGTGGGGCCCTCGAGACTTTGGACAGACCGTCCAGGGCCCGCAGTTTAACTCAGTTCCTTCTTGCTGCATTCCCAGACCGGTCCAAGTTTCTTCATCGCAACCTTCGGGGCCCAGCCAAACCCGTGGCTTCAGGGGAGGGGAGGCGGGGGCAGCATTCCTCCATGTGCAGGCCCTTGGAAGGCAGGCGCCAGCTCGAGCCTCAGCCGTCCTTGGCCCGCCAAACCCGGGGGCGAGGGAAGACGGCCGAGCAGAGTTCAATTCCCTGTGATGCTTCTCTGGCAGCTGCCCCGGGGCAGGATCCGGTCCCAGCCCAAGAGAAAGAACTCGTGGAGAAAAGGTTTCTCATCCGCTGTGCGTGATGTGTGTGTGTGTGTGTGTGTGTGTGTGTGTGTGTGTGTGTGTGTTGTATGTGGGGGGTCCTTAGCCCCTAACCCCAAGTACTGCCTGTGTTGGCTCTGGGTCTGTGCCGGGATGGAAGGCACCTACAGACTGGCCACACCCAAGATGCCACACTGACATGCCTGAGCGGGGCAGGAGGGGGGAAGTGGCACCCCTTCCCACAAACCCCAAGCTGACTCGGGTTATGATGGATCCATGGACCAAGCTTGGGTAAAGCATCCTGTGTCCCCCAGGGTTGAACAGGCCTGGAGGTGGTGGAGGGTGGACCGGATCTGGCTGTACAGCACTCCCCGGAGGGTTGCCTGGCCCCCTTCTCCCAGCCTGTAAGCAAAGCTGAGGCTTGCACCCCTCATTCAGAGAGGAGGAGGCCAGCCCACACTTGGCCACCCCATTGCTGGGTGGCTTTGGGCCAGTCACTGCCTCTCTCTGGGCCTCACTGTCCTGTAGGTAAAACAAGAGGGTGGACTAGATTTCAGTACCCCCTTCCCGCTCTGTCCAGCCTTCGAGCCTCTTCATCTTTGGCCAGAGGGGGGATGTGAGGGGCTGAGGGAGGGTTTAGGCCACAGTGATGCTCCCTCTTTCCCCAGGTTCACAGTGTAGAGTCCATGGCTCTGGTTCCTCAGTCTCTCTCTGAGTCTCTGGGGCTTTGTCATCACCCCAACACCATCCCTGGTGTCAGCCCCCGCAGCTCTGACACCTGCTATGGTGGGAGGAGCTGGCCCGCCTAGAAGTGTGGGGAGAAGGAGCGGAAGGCTGGAGATGGTGAGGGGCAGGGGCAGGGGGGGCAGGCAGCAGGGGCACTTCTGGTGCCGCAGAGGGAGTGTGGTCAGAAGCGATGGGGCCACAAGGGGTCAGTGGCAGGGCTGTGGTTTAGGGGCCCGGGCTCCACAGCCCTGCCCGGAGGAGCTCAGCTCTGACGCTGGCCCCCGGGGGTTGGCTGGAGCATCAGTCATCGGAATGTGGGGCAGGGCAGGGGCTCCCGGGTGGGTCAGCTCACACGGGGGACGTGGCGGTAGACTCGCTGCACAGGCTCTCCACGATGTCGGCTCGCTGGATGCGGCG